GTCACCCACTGGCCTTGCTGTGCGTGTGCTTATCTTTGTCACGCCTCTTTTCACCAGTTCAGCCTCACAATGTCACCCAATAATAACAAAACAAACCTGACTGCGACCAACAGTCATCCTCAACCACCTGTAACTCAAATCGCTTTACATCTTTTCTAGCCGAACTATGCCTAACCTAACCTAATCCAACCATACATCTTCTCATGCATTCTGATCTCATAACAGTACAAGAAAACGTTAGTTCTTTAGGTTCCATGGTTGACAAAAATTTAATCGTGATCTTGGTAACTTAATATTGTCCCTTAGTACCTAACACCAGGTCCTTCCCACCCCATCCAGTCTAGCGTTATCTGCTCTTTCTTATTATATATATATATATATATATATATATATATATATATATATATATATATATATATATATATATATATATATATATATATATATATATATATATATAAGTCTATGTAGCCGATGGCATCCCATCAATCATCAAAAAATAAGAATATGAACTTTCTCCTGTTCTATCTGTCCAGTATATTGTTTTCTTACCCCTACCATACAGTTCACTTAAAAGTCAAACTCAACTCTTTGCCAACATATTCCCCTCCCCCACCCCCGAAAAAGAGGTGATTCATTATCTTCTTCCAGTTATCGCCTCATAGCTTTCACCTTGGTCAACTATAGTCATGGAATCTGTGATTAAGTGAGACCTGCTCAAACACCTTGTAGAACTCCATGTTTTCTCTAACTCCTGGCATGATTCCCTTTCCAGACGCTCCACTGTACACCTGCTCACTCCACCTGTCATACACCACTTGTACAAATCATCCGTCACACATCAACTGTTATCTCACCTGTCACACTTCACCTGTCATCACATCTGTCACACATACTGTATACACCAACTTACCTGGTCACACACCTTTTGCCACATCAACTGTTAAAGATTACCTATTATTCCACCTGTCACACCACCTGTTATCTTACTTGTCATCTCATTTGTTACAAGTCCTTCAATTGACATCTTTTACCTCAACTGACAGACATCGTCTGTTACACACTATCCGTCACATATCACCTGTCAACCTGCCTGTTACACGCCACTTACAGCACTTCTCCTTCTACACATCACCAACCATACACCACCTACTATACCTACCACTTACTACACACCACTTACTGCATCTACCACACACCACCTACCACACATCACTTACTGCATCTACCACACACCACCTACTACACACCACTTACTGCATCTACCACACACCACCTACCACACACCACTTACTGCATCTACCACACACCACCTACTGTACTACACACCACTTACTGCATCTACCACACACCACTTACTACACACCTACCACACACCACTTACTGCACCTACCACACACCCAACGAAAGGCTTTAGTTATAAAACGCTGTGCAGCAATATACTGTTACTGTATAATTACCTTAGATTTACTTGTGACAAAATACACCAGATACTAATCACAGACATAAAAGTATTAGTATATCACAAATATTTAAAGGTCAGTACGTAACGAAAAACTGCCAAAAAATTCTTGTATCTATTGATATTTGATATTTACAAAGCAAACTCACATCATTTACCGACACCTATTAAATAAAAGATGAAAGCTATGTGTAGGTATGATGTGTTCAAAGACTTATCCTCTCTCTCTCTCTCTCTCTCTCTCTCTCTCTCTCTCTCTCTCTCTCTCTCTCTCTTTCGAGGCTTTAGATGAGAGCTGTTATTCGTGTCATGAACTGGCTGTCTGAGGCCGTGCAGGGGGTATATGATTCCTCGCTCGGTTGGCTTCAGCGGCCTTCAGTGTAGTGCAATTGGAAGGTGATTCAGTAAACAATTAGTCATCTTCATCTCTCAACATTGGAGAGGAACTTTACGACGAGGAGTGTGGTGGTCTGGCCTCACTATTATCATCTACTATTACTACTACTATTACATAACATCTGCCATACACCATTTATTACCCAATCTGTCACATCCCCACGTCACGGGACCTACCATGTATATCTCACCTGCTCTCCTCCTCTCCCTACTCTACCCTACACACACACACACACCACCTTCCTATTATTCCCTACCACACGCTTCTCACCACATCACATTACTTACCACACACAACTCAACACAACACGTTAACCACGCACCACCTAACACACACCGACTAATGCACTCCACCTAAAAGCTAAATTTTCGAGACAAATGGGCAGGAATGGGATTAATTTTTGGTTATGGTTTGTAACTCTATATATTACACAAAAGACCTTGCCAGTGATGTTGGTATTATTAACTGAAACATAAAGCCTTAGAACGCACCCAATTTATTGCAATTAGTTTTATAAGCCGAGAGTAGAATTTTATTGAATGTAATTTCAGATGATATATTAGAAGAGACAATGAGTTAATCGAATAGTAAAATAAATATTAAAAAAAAGGAGTAACTACGAAGTTATTTTAGGCTGGAGTGTTGTAAGGGAAAATGCTGTAGAGATTAATAAAACAACTGTCTATTTGTTTTGTGGTCTTTAAGAAATAATTTTATCGAATAAACTAAACTAAACTTATATAAATCTTTGAAAAGTTAGGTGTTAATGATAGATATACTAGAATTCTAGAAAATATCTATTGACATCAGGAAGAAGAAGTATCAGTAATAAAAGAGCTTATACAAATTAATTTATAGTTAGACAGTGAATTAGACAAGGCTGTGTTCTATCTCCAATAATATACCTGTATGATAGTTCTTCAGAAATTTGAATGAAAGAAGTGATCAGTACGATGATGGAATAAAAGTTAAAGTATATCAAATATTCAGTGTGCAGACCATACTGTTCTTAATATTGATAGTGATAGTGAAGAGGAATTACGAATTCTAGTCAGCGGATTACGGGGAAAAAAGTGAAGAACATGGCTTAGAGCTAAGGCCGTCAGGGTGTAATACTGTTGGTTGTTGTTGAAATAGAACTTATAACAGGCAACCGAGAACCGATTCAGGTGGAAAATTGCGTGTATTGGAGAAACAACAGATCATTTGATGGCAGATGTGAGAGGGAAATTAATGCAAGAACACGTCAAACATAAACAGCATTTACCAATCTATAGGGACTTGTTTGAGAAAAGGAGCGAGTGAACTACATTTGTGGTCATTGTGTGGGTCATAAGAATAGACATTGTCGAGGATGGTACATATAAGTTATACTGGCAGGAAAACAAATGATGAAGGACTAAAACTGGCGAGAACAATGTGAGAAAGAAGAAAATGTGATAATTTCTCCATATAATTAAGGATGAGGGATTAATGGCAGAGTCTCGATATAGGGTATGTAACTGGGGGTTGGAAGGCCAGCGTAAATTGTATTGGAAGCTTTAGTCTCCAGAGGTACAAAATCTAGGAGGAGTGATAACGGCAGCCCTAGAGTGTTTGGAGTAGGGGACGAAGGTTACAGTGACACTCAGACGTAGAACTGGCACATTGATTAATTGAATGCACACCGCCTACTACACACCACCTACACACTTGATACTACACTTGACCTACTACACACCGCCTACTACACACCGCCTCACCTACCACACACACACCGCCTACCTACACCACCGCCTACCTACACACACACCACCCACACACCACACCACCTACCACACACCACCTACTACACACCACCTACCACACACCACCAACGACATACAACCTACGCACAACCTACACACACAGCCTACCACACACAACCTACCACACACAACCTACACACACACACACACACACACACACACACACACACACACACACACAGTTAAAACTTTACTACGAATACTCTAATAACAGTCAGATATGAACACTTCGGAACAGAATATATGAACAATTGGGAACAGAATATATATCCCTATTCACTGAATACTTATATAACTTAACTGTTGATATATCTAATTACTAGAATCCTTTATATGTTATTCCCTGATTCATGGTAGTCGGAAACATAACCAACACAATAATTCTCACACAATTCTTACTGACACAAAGATTTTCTATTTACCTGCCCGCGGTGACTTACCCCCTCCCATCCCTCCTCCCTGAACCACGACAGTACCTCACCTGGAGATTAGAAATGGGCTGGCGGTCTGGTTTCTAGACAGCTGAACACATTATGAAAATACTGCACTTTGAGAGAGAGAGAGAGAGAGAGAGAGAGAGAGAGAGAGAGAGTTATAAATACTTTTGGTCATATTACTCCAAAAGTCTTGTCGATAAATAAAACAAAAGTAAAGGTGCATATAGTATTTTTTTTTTTATCTTAAACTGCAATTCATCTCGACATTTCTCGTTCCTTGGTGGACGGTGCAGCTAATCCCCGGCGGCTCGTGTACCCAAACTTACAACATAATACTCTTGGACTAAATGCTCAAAGCTGTGTATGTTCTCCCCCAGTAAATGTGAATGAGATAATAGCAAGGGGCAACAGAGCGACTAGAAAATGTCAATATTATTTTACCAATCACCTTTGTGCCATTGCTAGAGTGAACCAGCATGATGGGTTCTCTCATCTACAGTTACTGGGATAAACTAGAGTGAACCAGCATGATGGGTTGTCTCATCTATAGTTACTGGGATAAACTAGTGTGAACCAGCATGATGGGTTCTCTCATCTACAGTTACTGGGATAAACTAGAGTGAACCAGCATGATGGGTTCTATCATCTACAGTTACTGGGATAAGCTAAGTGAACTAGCATGATGGGTTCTCTCATCTGCAGTACTGGGATAACTAGAGTGAACTAGCATGGTGAGTTCTCTGATCTACAGTTACTGGGATAAACTAGAGTGAACTAGCATGATGGGTTTATCATCTGCAGTTACTGGGATAAGCTAGTGTGGGAAAAACCAGCATGATGGGTTTCTCATCTATAGTTACTGGGATAAACTAGAGTGAACATGATGGGTTCTCTCATCTATAGTTTACTGGGATAAACTAGAGTGGCATCATCTACAGTTACTGGGATAAGCTAGTGTGAACCAGCATGATGGGTTCTCTCAGCTACAGTACTGGGGACAAAACTAGAGTGAACCAGCACGATGGGTTCCTGCTATCTACAGTTACTGGGACCAAGCTAAGTGAGTAGCATGATGGGTTTTCTCATCTACAGTTACTGGGATAATCTAGAGTGAACCAGCATGATGGGTTCTCTCATCTATAGTTACTGGGATAAACTAGAGTGAACCAGCATGATGGGTTCTCTCATCTACAGTTACTGGGATAAACTAGAGTGAACCAGCATGATGGGTTTTCTCATCTACAGTTACTGGGATAAACTAGAGTGAACCAGCACGATGGGTTCTCTCATCTACAGTTACTGGGATAAACTAGTGTGAACCAGCATGATGGGTTCTATCATCTACAGTTACTGGGATAAACTAGTGTGAACCAGCATGATGGGTTCTCTCATCTACAGTTACTGGGATAAACTAGAGTGAACTAGCATGATGGGTTCTATCATCTACAGTTACTGGGATAAATTTAGTGCACGAACCTTTCAGAGATTTTTGGATCTTGAATATTAAGATCCAAAAATATAGTCATTATAGCACGAGCTGTTGATCAATGTGTTAAAACTTGCGGCAGAGGAACAATTTAATAGTTTTCTCCATTTTCTCTTTTACCTTTAATAAATAGAAGACACTATCGTCACATGAAAGATGGCTGAGCTACCAGACACGGAGGATAAAAGTTCCACAGTTTTACGAATACCTTAAACCAGATGGTCGTGGGCACTATACGTAGATAATTAACCTCTCGCTTTTCTGGACACATAACTTCCCTCATCCCTACATTTATGTGTGTGTGTGTGTGTGTGTGTGTGTGTGTGTGTGTGTGTGTGATGGGTTTTAGGGATAACTACAACATATCCATAATTCAATACAAAATTAAAAGTTTTCGAAAATTCGACCTCATATAACTGACTGACAGAACTAACCTTTACATAGCTAACACTACCAAACTTAAGCTAAGATAATCCTATTTAGGTAACGTTTGGTTATGATAAGATACCTCTTGTGTTTAACATTAAGTGAACACATTACTGAGTACACCTGGTGGACTAGTCAAAGGGGTGGAGTGACTGCTGAATGCTAAGAGTCATGACGAAGAATATAATATGCGTGAGTGGGTTTATCTCTCTCTGATCCCGCCACGTGTCTGTGATAAGAGAGTTGGTCTCGTAGTTTTGACGACAGTATGGATGCAACAAACTGTATACTAAGCCAATACGGTCAGTGCCACTGTATTCAAACACTTTTACTTTCCCAACTGTAAAGTTAAGTACCAGTTCGTAGCTGGGTGAACTGGGTGTTCTAGTCGCGAACCAGCAATCTTTCTGAAAAATGGCAAGTCCTGTGTCTATCGTAACATATTACTTAATGGATCGATTTGATAATTCGCAGGCATCACCTCGACCACTTACAGACGTGCTCGAGTTGTTGATGGGATCACAGGGTCAGGGGTTTAGGTCCCACCAGCTGCTCCAGGGGTTGTCCCTAAGCTTTAGAGGTTATTTTTATTAGTATTGTAATTAATTCTTCGTCTAATTTCTACAAGTCAGTTTCAGTCTGTATCTTTACGCACTCATGTGTTCCGTCTTGGCAAGCTACAGTGTGAAGAAACGCTCACGTATTTTTTTAAATTTTCATTTAATGACATACACAATTGTTCCTAACTTCATCTCACTCACGAATTTTTACACCAAATTTTAAGTTTCAGACATCCACTTTTATATCAAGGTTCAGGACATAGGTATCCTCACATATTTCTTGTATTCAAACTTTAGTGTTAAGACGTACCCATATATCACATATTTCTGCCCCTGTTACTAGACGTGCCGGTGGTGACGCTGGCCCCTGGACCATCAATCGACCTGGATAACATCAAGGAGGGAGTCGACGTGTACTTTGAGTGTAGTATCACCTCTAACCCGCGGGTCTACAATGTCTTCTGGCTACATGAGGTTAGTGTTCACCTGTCTATTAATATTTACGAGTTTAAGTGTATCGAACTGAAGACTTAAGAGTTTAATACGATTCTTTTTTTTTTAATTTTACATATTTATTAATAATTTTGGGTTCCGTGAGATCAGTGCTTTTTTTTTTCCAGCGTTGAATTTTTGTTGAGCTGATAAACAGGAGAGAGTATGTTTATTGACTTATCTTGCTTTCAACGTGCTCATACATAATAAAACCAAAGGCTTAGAAGGTCGATCAAGGGTCTCAATGACTCAGTGAATCCATAATATCAAGTGATACAGTATATTTCTTATATTTCGTTTCAAAGAAGCAGTATAATAATTTATTTAAGTTCTCATAATTATTAAACAACACACAGAATGCCTCTGCCACTAGGGGGGGCGGGGGGGGAGATCGATTGGGTTTAAACATTCAGCTAAAAATGAAAGATGGTCAAGTAGCTTATAAGGATTATATAGTTACTTTTTCCAGTAGAGATAATTAATACACACTCGAAGGTTTTATGTACAGTAAAAGCATCACAGAAACGAGTCAAGTATTGAAAATTTTCACTTTTCGCTTTACCAAGTACATATCCATCTATTTAACTATTAAATAAACGTGATCTAAAGTTTAAGATCCTAGTCTTTGAAGTTTAAAGGAATGAGTCTCCACTTGACTACAGTAATAAACAAGAAGAGTGTCACTGTTTTTATATGTATCCTGTATGGTAACGATTCGCGGGCAGAGTTTGCAGCAACTTGGAGGATGCGGAAATGTTTTTGTTGTTAATATTGTGGTAAATTACAGCGGCTGTCAGTACTTAAGATGAGCACCATAAATCGGAAGGTTTTAATAAGAGTCTTCAAGCACTTGGTAATGGCGTCACGGATGGTGGAGTGGATGACAGTTATGAACTATCTCTCGTCTCTCTCTGTCTCTTAAAGGAAAATATAAGAGAAAATAACTAGAAAGTGATTGGATTAGCATATTGATATATTGTCATTGCCATAATCAGATCTAAATGAAATAATACAACACTATGTGGCTACGTCGTTCACTTGAGAGGACTGTAAATCCTCTTATCTGGTATTATGTCTTTTGCTTCCTTCTTTCCTTCCTTCTCGTTCCCTTCAATTTCCTTCTTCTTTCTTTTGATGCGATTTTCCTTGAGTTGTTTGATTCAAGAGAAGGACAAGTTGGACTCTTTTTTTTATAACTATTGTTGTGGTTTTGTTTTTGTGTATTTTTCAATTATTTCCTGTGTTGGGTTTTATGTTTTATGGATTTTGTTCCTTATTTCTTAGCGGAAGTTGTTGTTGATGTTGTTGATAATGATGATGATGATGATGATGATAGCAAGTATGGCAAGTGCTGTCAGTGGTGAGTATATTAAGTGTGTTTTACTGACAGCTGCAGCTTAATGTTTTCTTGTATGTCTTCATTTACCAACACTGTCAGTCACACAATCTGTATTAGCAACTCTGAGGGAACATAAATTTTGTCTTCTTTTCGTTCATCATCTTGACGGGGAAAAATTAGTCATATTGCTATTTCTGGCAACAGTTCTTCGCTGTCTCCTCTCCTCTGCAACATAATTTACAAGGTTATTTGGCCATCTGTTGTCACGTATGTTGCAGTTCCCAGCCACTCATATCAAGAAAATGAGTTTTATACCCTAATGCAATTTACCGTTACCCTGAATTTCATTTAACTCTGTCTGAAAGTTTACCGCCGAGAAGCAGAAAACGAATCTCTCAAAACTGCTGCTATCATTGTTGGAATTATTTGTATAGACACGAGTTTTTATCTAATAAATAACTCAGTAGTGTACACAGTCGTAGGATTTGACACTAGATACTTCTGTCTACAGGTGGAGGTGAGTGTCCGTGCTTAGCTGAGACACTTCCTCCAAATTCTACTTCTGCCTTGTTATTTAATAATGGGATGCGTTGGGGTACATGATAATAATAAAATAAAAAATAGTACTACTGCTACTAGTATACAGTATATATATATATATATATATATATATATATATATATATATATATATATATATATATATATATATATATATATATATATATATATATATATATATATATATATATATACAGTATAATGTCTGTGGGTGTTATACTAATCAGGGATAATTGCAGGCGGCAACTTCTATGAATTTGTTTTTTAGAAACTTCTGACCGTTCATAGATAATCATATAAATCACAACAAATAAAAATGAATAATTTCATAGAAAACCTAACCTAACCCAACCTCAGCAAATTTAGCCTAACCTAACCTAAGTTACTTTTGATATTATTTAGCAATCTTATGATGGTAAACGACGTCATAAATAAAACGGAGCAAATTTAACCATACAAGAATTACCTTCCATTAAGTTCTAACAATACAGTAATAAATTATCCCTATTTGACAAAAACTTCAGTTGGGTTTTAAAGTTGAATCGCCGTCATCTCTATCAGTGATCTCCAGGCTTAACCACGGGACCTCCACACATTGTTAAGGTCTTTGTGGTCATTTTGGATCAGGTTCCCCCGCCCCTTACCGGGGAGAGGGTGGCGGTGGTCACCACCTGCGGGCCCAGTACGGGGTAGAGGTGAGGGGCGGCGATAACCATGGCGGAGAGGTGAGGGGAGGCGATGATTGCACCCACGGGATAGAAGTGAGGGGTGGCGCTAATTACCATCCACGGGGTAGAGGTGAGGGGTGGGCGGTGAACCATCCCTCGTTACGTTAAAGCTACACTCTCGTTAGGGGAGACCAATCCTCCAGAGAGCCTAAATGACCTTATTTGGCAGAGCGGCCGCGGCGTGCCCGTGAAATAACCAAACAGTGCGGCATGTATACTGTGTTTTGTTATTTGTTGGGGACGACAGCACCCCTGGGTGGTGTGGGTCACCCCAGGGGTCGTTTGGGGAGTTGATTATTAGTTCAGTGACGGCACCTCACCGGCACCCACAGCTACTGTCGTGTCAGGGCAAGTGGGGCATTTCGGTGTCCACTGACTGGTCAAATTGGCCCACTTTATTAGGACCTGACCCAGCCTTTTGGATAGGGGCCTAGTCCCTATGGCTTCCAGTCCTAATGAGCCTCATTCCTAAGGGACCCCAATATTAATGGACCATATTTTAATGATTAGGTTAGGTTGCAGCCCAATAGTATTTGGGCCCAATTGATCTACCATATGCTTTGGAGGGGGGGGGGGGGATATACCCTCAAGGTTCACTACAGTAGTGCTGAGTCACCCATTGTAAGCTTGTCGGATCATCATCTGTTCGTCGTGGTAGGACTCAAGTGTTATTCACTAATTTTTTGCAAGGGAGCCACTTTGGCAAAACACATTCATTGAGAGAGCCGCATCTACCGCAAATTTACATAATATATTACAAAGAGACACTGCTTGTTGTAGCCTTTACATATACAAGTAATTTTTTTTCGAGAGACGCAAATGAAGTCGTCGCGAGACGCAGGCGGCACGCGAGCCTTGCAATGAGTACCACGGTCCAGGTAGGTGGTCGCCTTATGGGTTATACTGATAACATCCACGACAGGGGAGGTCATAATTCTTGAGGTAATTACCTCTCTTGCTGCCACCAGGTTATGTGAATTTTATACATCAACATCCCCCAAGAAAATATTGAATAAATCTTTCTCAGTGACCTCACACGGAGTGGAAAATTATTTAAGATCAAGTTTTTTATATTTATTTTTAAATATCAATTCACGATAACAATTAACACCAATAAGTCGTGGTGGTGTTGAATTAAGGTTCACACTTCACTGCACTGGGTAATTTAAATGGACAGGAACGAATATTCAAGGTCTTACCTTCATTGCTTCCTGTCGACTCATTGAGTCGTGACAGACATCACTCAAAGATGGAGGATCACCGCGGTTGACGTTAGTAAATCACACTCTGTTATCAGGGCCCGGGGTTACTTTCAGTGTATCAGGGTAGCACCTGCATCTCACAAGATCTTAGGGTGGAGGATTATCACCAAGATCTTCACAGGATGTCGGGGCATTTGTGTTGTGTCGTTCACAAGGAAATTACATCTCTCGTGAAAAGGTTAAGACAAAGTGCAACCCCCAGCCACTAGGCTAGGCCTTTTATGTTAGGTCAAGTGTTCGCCGGAAGTACTATACACATTATCGGTCTAAAACTCTCGTTCCCAAAAAACTTGGGTTTCAGTTACAGCTGTAGTGACTACGGTTAGCTCTCGTCCGGCAAATGGGTCAGTCTGCGGTCACCGTATCATAGTGCCATAGGCCAAGCCTGTTACGTCAGATCATAACGTTTCTTAAAATTAGCTGTGTGTAGGAGAAGGCATCTCCACAAGCTTGATGTCGTGGGCAAAACTTGTGTGTTTGGAGAATAGAGGAAAACACGTCTGGTGTCTGGAGAGAATCTCATCTCTTTTCTCAGCTCTGGTTGGTTGTCGAACACAGACCGACTCTAGTGTGAAAAGTTGATAAAGAAAATCTTGTCATATCTGACATTTCTTCCCAGTTAAATATATTTGTGACAGTTCTGGCTCCTCGGTCAGGTCACCCGATTTTTTATTTTATTTTTTGCACAGAACCACGTTTTTTTCTTTTTTTTTTTAATACTGTCAATCTGAAAAAAACCCCACACAAAAACACTATGCAGGTGAATATTAAAACTGGCGTTAGCATGCCATAGGAGGATTACCTTGGCAGCCCCGTCAAGCACATTGTTCTGAGTCACCGACGGGTATCAAGGAGGGAGGAGTCGTATCACAAAGTGTTGTGTGGAGAGGACGACCTGAGGTATGTTATGGACCGAGGAGAGAACCACCTAAAGCTTACAAAGAACGTTCCATGTTCACCTACTGTTGTTACCCGAAGGTTTCCTAGGCAGTAGGTAGTAGGCAGCTACCAAACAGGGAGGTACTACCGCCTGGGAAGATATTGGAAGCATAATGTGTTGTCTAATGGTAGACCCTGCTGCTATATGGCATTGCAAAAATTGTGACCAAGCCCCAGGTTGCTGATCTGACTTTCTGCCTCATTTACACACAATTGCGGGGTCTCAATTGTTTCTCTTGCTATTGACAACACAACATACATATATCGTTTCTCACTAATGATCTTTTTTTTTAATTTCTTTATGGTTCCTTATTATTATTATGATTATTATTATGATTATTATTATTATTATTATTATTATTGTTATTATTATTATTATTATTATTATTATTATTATTATTATTATTATTATTATTATTATTATTATTGCAGTGTTTTCATTATTATTATTGTTATCATTATTATTTTATTTTTATTTTTGTATTTTTTATTATAAATTTTACTTATCTGAATTATTGTTATTATTATTATTCATATTCATATTCATATTCATATTATTATTATTATTATTATTGTTATTATTACTATTATTATTATTACGTTTTCGCCCCCCCCGAGCCCTGATGTGGGTAGGTGACCTGTGTCCGGGTGGGCTTATACCCGTAAAAACGAAAAAAAAAAAAAGAAAAAAAAGAAACAATAACAAAGTTGATGGAAACCAGAAATAAACCGAGATGTTGCCCTATCAAGGCTATAAGAGTTCACGTCCAAAGGATAACTGCAGTACGGTACCTGATACTGTAAAAGTAACAAGCAAAAATCATTTACTGTTCTAGATTTATCATCGTAGAGTATTCTCAACAAAAGGTTACCCATACAGCCACACAAACAACATCCTAATGTTGTTGCATAATGAATAAATTTTCAATATCAAGGAGTGTGGTTTTTTTTTTTTTACACAAATATTCCAGGGCCTTATGTAGTTATGGGCCGATAAGGCATAATAACTTGCCACAAACGACTTATGTGGGTTTTATGTGAGGCAGTAATGTTATCATCTCTCCTTGAATTATTACAAGCCTCCATGGTGCCACAACGGGTCTCCCCTGTTATGGAAATCCCAAATTTTTCTTTTAAATTGAAGGATTTTATGGCAGTACATTTTTATTTCCATATTTTTCCATAAAAATCTTCGTTCACTTATGTTCAAGTGTGATGGGTATGTTGGATAGTTTAGGATAGGTTAAGATAGATAAGGTAAGGTAAGGTTAGGTTTAGATAGGATAGGTTAGCTAAGGTTAGGTTACGTTAGGTTAGGTTAGGTTAGGTTTAAGTATATTGGTTCATCTGAAATGTAAGCAGAGCGATGATAAACATTAAAACTGGCGAAGACGGTTTCCCTTTTCACTGACCTCTCTGACATGATTCCCCTTCTGTTCAACTCTTTCCTCTTCTTTTCCTCTTACGCTTCTTTCCTCTTCCTTTTACCTCCTCCATTTTTTTCTCCTCTTTCACCCTCTTAACTTCTCCCCTCTTCTTTTTCCCTTTCTTAACCTGCTTCTTCTTCTTTTCTCCCCTCTCCCTTCTCTCCCCTTCCCTCCTCAAGCCAACACTTCACCCACACTATGAAGAATAATGATCAATTTACTGTTATACGCTGCAATATATTTCTTTAACACATTATTTAAATTTTAAGTCATTTTTACAGTAGATCATATTTTCCTTTCTTTAAGTGAGATTTATTCAGACATTATTTCAAACGCTTTTCTTAATGACCTGTAGTGGTGCTATGGTGTTAGAATGCTCTCCCTTTAACCGCGGAGTTACTTAAGATGCGAATCCCGTCAGCTGACCTAGTGAGTAAAATGTCTTTACCTTTTAATACAATGACTTAACCCTTTGAAGACGAAGTATTAGCTAACCCCTTGAGCGTGAAGTTGTAACCCCTAGAATACTAAGACTTAAGCTCCTACCCTGAGTCCGCAGTCTTAGTCCCATGAGTACAAGGACTTAACACCTTGAGTACGAGAAATTAACACATTGAGTACGAGGATGTAACCCCTTGCGTACAAAGACTTAACCCTTTGTGTACGAAGTCCTAGCCCCTTGAGTACTATTACCAATTACCTTGATTACGATAAACATTTTAATCAAGGGAATAAGTCAGTGAACATTAATGATTCCAAACCTGCTCCTAACTCGAAGGTTCCCGTGAGGACAAAGGTACAGATGTGGTCTTATTTGGAGGTCATCTAAGGGCGCTAACTGTACAACGACCCCATACATCTACCGTTCTGGCAGGTGACACATCAACAGATTTTATTTATTCTTGGGTACAATTTCGCCCCGATTAAAGTTTTATTGCTTTTGGTCAGTAGGAGTTATATATGCCCCTAAGTTATTGCTTATGACACCAGACCCATCTTTTAATATATATTAGTTCTTTTATTTGCCTCTGTCCTTTTCCTCGCTTTCATTTCTTTTCTTATTCTTCTTTTGTATAATTCCTATTTTACCCTCTTGCCCATCTTTCCTCTCCTTCCCTTTCCTTTTCATCTCTCCTCTTCTTTATACCACTTCCCGTTCTCCTATTCTACATTTTTTTTTACCTTTCCTCCTCTTTTCAAACATCTTTTCTTATTACTGTACTCCTCTCCTATCTTTTCCTCTCTCCTTCATTATCTATTGTCTTTTCTCTTTATTTTTCTCCTCTGTTTTTTTCCTTATTTTCTTACGTTATCTGTTCCTTTTGTTTCATCACTTCAACATTTGCCTCCACAGTGTTTAGACGAAGAAGCCATCTCAGCACCATAAAATACCCCGTAAAGAAGACAACGTAGCCAAGATATTGTACGAAACTAAACACAAAGAGAGTCACTGTTACCACATGAAAGCACAGCGCAAAATAGTTCACTGCAGTTATATGGTCTTATTACTCAACTGTGATGAAATAATATTGAGTATTATAATCTGAGCTCTGAGTAATATAGGTATTATATTATTTACTTAATTGTGAATAATGAAATGCTCTTTGATGATGGAAACAGCAAGATGTCATTCGTATAAACAAGAGAATGTTTTAACACACACTGATTCTCTTATACATTCAATGTTTGTGTATTAAAATGTTAGTTATGATGGGAATGAGATATTGTAAGTTCGGGTAGTATACAACAGTTAACTTGTACGCTTGTGTTTTAGTACAAGTTTTGCATCTATTTACCCACACACATTAGTCTTAAGTACGGTATATTTGTGTACAGCCTGGTCCACCAGCTTACCACCAACAAAATATTGTTAGTGATTGTGTGCAAAAATGTGAAAATATATGAAAAATAGCTCACGTGAGGTCTCCACAGTCCACAATGTCCAGAATGTAAATATTACACACACGCACATTGCTCCGTAACTGTTATCTTCATTGTTTATAGTATATCCTCCCCAAGGCCACGACACACTCGCCACACAATGGCTGACTCTCACCATTTGGTATATATGAAGGTGACTTAGAAGTATCAATACAAGGTTGTTCATATTTCAGCTTTTGTTTAATAGTTTAATCTTTTTGAGAGAGTTCAAATCTTTCCTGGCGGAGATGAAATATGATTCTCCCAGGAAATACGTCACAGATGGATTACTTCCGGTTCGTTATTTACAGGGAAAATGTCGTCCAAGTCGGATATATTTTACACATGACGTAGTATATGTTTCACACTTCATGGGACGCGGCATCTCTCACATTCCAATATTTCTTGATGTGTCACAAGTTATTATGTGAGACGAGTGTGACCAGACGTACAGTAGTCCAGTCAGTGTCAGGTCTTCTATTCTGTTGTTGTATGAAATGATCCAAGAACCACATGAGGACTTTTGTTACGTTATTATGATCTCTACATTGTCGGTGATGGGTGTGTTGCGTTACAGGGGGAGGAGCTGCGTCACAACGTGTCAGCAGGAGTGATCATTGGTAACCATATACTGGTGCTGCAGAAGGTGGACAAGACAGCGTCAGGCAATTACCACTGCGTTGCCTCCAACATCCAGGGAGACGGCCACTCCAACCCACTGCGGCTGAGAGTCAAATGTGAGTACAGACGCTCTTCTTCTCAAGTGTGAGTGTAAGGTCCACCGGCTTCAAGTCTAAGTTTGAGTACAACCTTGTTTTCTTCAAATTCAATGTCAGTGTAGTGCTGTTCTTAGTCAATTGTCGGTATAGTAGTAGAGTGTGTCTGGGATAACCGTGTCAGTGCACCGCATGTTTTGCTTAAGTCAACTGTGAGTACAAAATATAATTATTCTAAGTCAACTGTTTGTGCCCAGAGACTACAGCACTTCTCAGACCATCACAGAGAGATAAAGGAGGGTGCAGTGTAACTTCTCAGTGATCATTTATGAATACTATGTCTTCTTCCCAAATGCGACATGACAATGGTATTCATCTCTGTAGGTCATTTGTGATCACCTGACTTACTCCCAGTCCCAGGTTAAATGTCTGAGCATTAACATCTTTGTCAGGTAAACACTTGACTCAACTAAGTTTTCCAGAACAAGTGAGTGAAAAGCCCAGTGATGTAGTCGAGACCTGAACCGAGACCGAGATCATTTGCAATTTTAGCATTGATTATATGCCAGTACTTAATAATGGAGGAAACTGCAGCGGGTCTATTGGCCCATACTGGACAGCCCCGTTTACACCCAACCCCTATCGCTCATATATCCATCCAACCTATATATAGGCTATTTGAAGCTACCCAACGTGTTCGAGTTAATGAAGAAGTTCAGTAACTTGTTCCACTCATCCACTACTCTATTTCCAAACCAGTGTTTACCTATCTCGCGCCTAAATATAAATTTGTCTAATTTAAAACCATTGCTATGAGTTCGTTCTTGGTTGAATAATTTAAGTACCTTTGTTATATCCCCTTTGTTTAGCCCTGACTTCCATTTATACACCTCAATCACATCGCCCCTCACTCTACGTCTCTCGAGGGAGTGCAAGTTCAGATGCATTAACCTGTCTTTATACAGTACTCAAGGTTCCTAATGCCCGGGATTAGACTTGTCATCCTCTTCAGAGTGTTTTCTAGGGATTGTTTTTTCGCAAAAGAATCGCTGTCTCAGTTCATTTAAGTAATACATTTTGGGGGGTTGAAATCCCTGGATGATGGATGGTCAATGTTATATTAATTCATGGAAATATTCACCTACTAGTATAGGTATGGTTATATCAACTACCAAATTATTAAAAAAAAATCTTTTTCCTGACTATAAATAAATATAATTAAATATATAAAGTTTGCTTCAATTTACCTATTGGGTTTGTGTGTAGTATATTGGGCTTAGTTAATAGAGCACACTGAAACATTCACCGTATTGTAATAAACAGTGCTGGGTAATGTAAAGTAAATGTGGAATTGAATACCTGGGTTGATCTGGGTCACCTTGCCTAAGAAAATTTACCTTGACCCAAGAAATCCCTCCTTATTATAGTTAAAGTCTTCAGAAACTTATTTACTCATTTGGTGGTTTAGTGACCTGAGGTGAGGTAACTCTCGCTACCTGAACGAAAACTTATCAAGTTGACCACTTCCTCAACAGACCTGAAACGTAATAATTAGAGACCAAGGGTGTCCAAGACCGAAACGGAAACTGAGACCTGAAAAAGGGTCGCGAGACTTATGTCAATGAAACCGAAAACCAAATTATTTGCCTTTTTTAATAATTCATGATATAAATATGAGCAATTAAAAATACACACTTAAATTCTTATTACACCAGGCTCATCGATCATATCTCAATACTTTATTTTTATATTCATTTGGAACATGGTAGGTGTTCATTACACGTTAGAAACACCAACAACTCAGTACAATTGTTGAAGTCTGGCATCTATGGGGCCTCATTAATATCCCCCATGGCTAAATACACGTTCAGTTGGAGCATTAGAGGCCAACTATCACAAACCCGTAAGGAAGCCCAGCTCACAGATAATACAGATATATAAATATAAATATAGAAATAATAAGCACGTGATGCTTAATGTGGCCTATAGCTCAGATCTAAAAAATTATAAAAGACAATTTGGCCTCGAAAGGGCTCGAGTGAAGCCCAAGTCCATGGATGTCTGAGGCAGAAACTCGAGACCCACATCACTGAAAACAACTCGTCTTATGCAGTGAGGTATCAAGTTCACTTGTCTGCATTTTCATTATAATTCCTACTGTTGTCTCGAACAGCAAGGGATTGTCTCGAAATTGTCAGGCAACTTGGAGTGCCAGTGTGTTACTGCCAGACACCTCGGAGTGAGTGTCTGGCTGTCTGTCTGTCTGTCTGTCTGTCTGTCGTATTCCCAGTCACCTACGAGTGTTAGTCTTTTCCCAGCAACAGAGGAGTACCAGTGCCTTATTCACAGCCAGCCATTTAGGAGTAAAAGTGAAAGTAAGTCCCATAGGCATGACTGGTGTTGGGGGTAGTGTTGATACAGCACACTGTTCCTAAACCTTCTGTACACAAGGAGGCAGCATGGCCGGTACTGCCCTCGACCGCCTTCACTTCCCCAAATTGTAAACTTAGATACCCATTTACACCTGGGTGAACTGGGAGCACAGTTCCCAGACACAGTAATATCCGTATCACAATTCTAGACACCTAGGAATGTCAGTAACTTCTAACCAGCCACCTAGGGGTATCAATATTGTCGTTACACTCCCAGCTTTCGTATAGTGTCAGTGCCTCACACCCAGCTACCTAACGTTCTCTCTCAGCTTTCACCTGCACTAAAATTACTGGACAGTTCCCACACACCCCGGTCAAGTTATCGCTGTTGTTGTTACGAAGTCAGATGTATGACCCTTATATATATTCTGCCTTAATAAAATACTAGCATTACTAGTGAACAGAAATATTTACGTTATTGCATCATATTTTTCAGGACTTTTCATAACTTTCGGATGTACACGAGAGAGAAAGATTATATTGAAAGCTTAGTTTGTAACGAGACATAACTCCATAGTAACATTTGACCATTATATCACGCTCTGCCTAGGATATATTCCATCTCATAACTTCTCACAATAAATTCACATTGTATCTTTTAGGTATTAAGGATATCTTTTAATATAACCTGTACCACCCACGTACCTTTGTCAGCTATAAACCATCACGCCCCGGGAACACAAAATAACAGTGAGTGAGCAGCAAGTCTCGCCTCTCTTTGGCTGCTTCCTGTGTGGTGTTGGTGTAATTTTGACACTTCCATTTTGCCACTGTGACGTTCACCCCGACCTACAGTAAACCGCCCCACAACGCATGTCCACACCCGCCAGTGTTTCTTCACCTTTATTATTATTATTATTATTATTATTATTATTATTATTATTATTATTATTATTATTATTACCACCTTGGCTTTATCTGAACCTACCATCGTCAATTACAACCAGGATTCAGTGTTATACAACCGGTGGGATATAACGAATGGCAGTTCTCTGGGGCCTCCTTCTCCCTCCCAGCCTCACGTGAGCTGGTACTGTCAATCTGTCAGATGTATACAATACATTTTAGCCATCTGAAAGTGCAACTATAGTTTTCGGTAAATTATAAAGTCAATCAAACCTGAACACCTGTAAATCTCTGTTTAGAACTACTACGTATTTAAGGCTTAATATTTATATAAGACTGTTTCAAAAAGAGAAGTCTGTGTTATGGGAACAGTTCTGCCAACCCGCTCAATCACAGCGCAAAACCAAAACGATAAAGAAAGTTGCCAGGAATATCTTCTTCTATTTTCACTACACCTTTCCTAGTGGTGATGTTGTATTTATATAATACCATATTACCTACATGCTGGTGGTTATAAGGGAGGCAACAGAGACATTAGTTGTCAGTCAAGTATAAATCTCTTGTATAAATTCTTTCTTCCTTATATCGGGTTTGATATTTGGATGTTGTGTTTTCTTCTCAGCCAGTGTCGCCTCCTCCCACCCTCTCTGGTTTCTTTGTTTATCTATCTTTTGTCTTCGCCTCACTGACTGACTGTCTTTGCCTCACTGACTGACTGAGTGTCCTCACCTCACTGACTGACTGTCTTTGCCTCACTGACTGACTGTCCTCACCTCACTGACTGTCTGTCTTCGCCTCACTGACTGACTGTCTTTGCCTCACAGACTGACTGACTCTCCTCACCTCACTGACTGACTGTCTTCGCCTCACTGACTGACTGTCTTCGCCTAACTGAATGACTGTCTTCGCCTAACTGACTGACTGTCCTCACCTCACTGACTGACTGTCTTAGCCTCACTGACTGACTGTCTTTGCCTCACGTACTGATTGACTTTACACTATCCACTCACTTATCTTTCCCGAACTCACTCTCTCTCTCCCTTCTCTCTCTCTTCCTATCTCTCTCTCTCTCTCTCTCTCTCTCTCTCTCTCTCTCTCTCTCTCTCATTTAATATGTATTCCACGAAGTTTTCCTCAACCATCACCCTCACTTTTCAGCGTCGACTCTCACACACTCCTCCAGCCCTTTGAGGTGTAAATGTCCTTCCCCCTCACCTGCAGGTACACCCCCTTACACCACTCTTTTCCCTGACTCATGTTCCGCTCTCCTGCATTCCTCTTCCACTACTTTCCTCCCTGTGTAGGTGTAGGTACTGTAGGGTTAGGTGTGGGGTGTGGGAGGTTAGGTGTGGGAGGTTAGGTGTGGGAGGTTAGGTGTGGGGTGTGGGGGTTAGGTGTGAGGTGTGGGGGGTTAGGTGTGGGTACTGGGGTTAGGTGTGAGGTGTGGGTACTGGTGTGGGTACTGGGGTTAGGTGTTAGGTGTGGGTATGGAAGAGTGTGTGTGTGGAAGAGTGTGTGTGTGTGTGTGTGTGTGTGTGTGTGTGTGTGTGTGTGTGTGTGTGTGAATACAGCAGTGGTACAACAGTTATATACCTGATGTTTACTACTGTGTCCTAGGTTTGATGTCCGACCCGGGTCAGATGTCAGAGGGGTGTTATCTAGTGTGACCCAACTACTGTATACGATACATCACAAGTTTCCTCCTGTACTAACAATGGAAACTGAAGGTCATAGCAAAGAAAG